TGTCAAAAAAATAATAATCTCTTGATAACTATGTATTAATGATTTTTTTTAAAACAGTAGTTACTTTAAAGCTGAATTTATATATAACAACTTCTGTGTTAATATTGGGTAGCATGAATTCTGCCTTGAGAAACTGAATAGCATACAGTTGGTCTGTAAATTCAGTCAGAATATGAAAATTATTCCTTTCTAAAGATATGTTCACATCAGTTCTTAAAGAATAGTCATAGTTAGTTTAAAATTTGTGTTTTAGCCTGATAGTTTTAAGTGCCTGTTTGAGATAATAGGCAACTTAGATGAGTTTAGTAAAAATAAAGTTACTACCTACAGAAATGTCTATTACAGAGATTTCCTCCCTTGAGCTAAATGGGTTTACACAATGTTTTATCCAAAAGTTTCCAATTCCACTGTCTTGTGTTTTCATGTTGAAAATACTTTTGCTTTTTTTTTTTCGAGTGCCAATTTCTTACTAGTACTATTTCTTAATATAACATGTTTACCTGGAATGTATTTTAACTATTTTTGTATAGTGTAAACTGAAACATGCACATTTTGTACATTGTGCTTTTTTTTTTTTTTTTTGTGGGACATATGCAGTGTGATCCAGTTGTTCTCCCATCATTTGGTTGTGCTGACCTAGGAACGTTGGTCATATCAAACATTAAATTTAAAAATGACCACTCTTTTAATTAAAATTAACTTTTAAATGTTTATAGGGGTATGTGCTGTGGAGTGATCTGAAATTTGTAATATTTTTGTCATGAACTGTACTGCTCCTAATTATTGTAATGTAATAAAACTAGTTATTGTGACTATGAGAGCGTGTATTTCTTCAAGAAATTGAAAACATTTGTCCTACAACTTTTACAATATATAAGCCATAGGTACTGTAGTAAATTAGTCTTTTTTTAAAAAATATATTTTAAGTTATAAAAATTATGTATTTATGAAAGGTGCTGTGAACATTATGTAAAGGTTTTAAGTATTTGCTTAAACGTAAAGCCATCCTATGTTTTAGGTCCAGTGCCATGTGAACTAATTTAAAAGTAGATGAAAACAAATCTACCTTGATAACAAAAGAAAAGATTTATTTATTTCAAATAAGTCAGTTAATGTACAGCAGGTGATTTTTTTTAAGGCCCAAAGGGAGCCAGCAGTGAAATTAATAATGGAAAATAATGAATAGGTATTGCATCTATGCCAGTCACTCTCAGGCTATTCCCAGGTCACATACCCCAGATATGCATGCACATTCCTTACCCTCTACATAGAATTCTTTCTAGAACTACACTGAAATCATTACCTGGTGTAAACCTTAAATATGTAGTAGTAATGTACCAAATTGGGTCAAAAATAATTTACTCTTTCAAATGTTAAGGAGAATAAATATACAAGAAATTATTCTGCTTAGTTAAGTGTATTAACTGGCATTGCATGTCAGTAAAACGGAGAACTGGGCTAAGAATAATTGGCTAGTACTTTATAGGTTTGAGAAAAGAAATTTAAGTATTTTCATTCCAAAACTGGGTGCTCATTAAAACTCGTATAATTGGTATCTGGCAACATTATATAGTTAAATTACTCTTTCAATATAAAATTGAGGCTAAAGGATGGCTGATTAAGCTCTTGGCATGTATAGAAGTTGAAATCTATTAATTCAGTAAAGCAGCTCAGGTATTTTTCATATGACCTGTATATCTTGATAATTTTTCAGTTGGAATTATTTTACAGTATTTGGCATACATAAATAGTTGGCACTGATTTCAACCACAGTTATAGTAGTAATAGTTAGTTAGCTTTGTTGACATCTGAATAATAGCGTTGTTTCATAGCTCTATATTTCCTAAGAAAGTATAAGGCTTCTAGCTCTTTCATTACAAAATGACCCCGTCCAATAAGTTCTTTGATCTTCTCTGGATCCTTCACATCTTTGTTTTTAAGGAAAACAGTCTTCAGACGCCTTTTAAAATAGTCTGCTCCTTTTGGATAGTCTCTCCCAAGATACAGCAGCTTAAAAAGAAAGATTATGTATTTCTAAACAATCCATGTCATATAGAAAAATTTGTGAAATTGGCAGCATAATTACTTACATTTTTATAAAGATTCAGTACTTCTCCTCTTAAAGAACTGGCCATTTTCATTTATCATGGAAAGTATCCACCTTTACACATACCTGAAGAAAGAAAAAGCAAATATCTGCATTGTAGCCTTAAAAAAAAAATCAGAAAAGATTTTATGTGCTGAGATATAGCTATGAACCTGCCTGATAAGATAACTTGCTGTCACAGAACATCTGGGGAGCTACAATAAACAAGCAAACAAGATAATTAGAAATTGTGACCAGTTCTCTGAAATAGGGTAATGAGAGAAAATGGATTGTCAGATAATTATGTGTACTTCATTTTATGCTACAGAGGAGTAAGTGAGAACTAAATTTGAATCCCAGTTGCATACTGTGCGGGTGACTTAACCATTCTGAGTCTCAGTTTCCTTATCAAAAGTATCTTTACCAGACCTCTCAAGGCAAAGTCAGATCCTTTTGGAAGACACTGAGAGAAGAGGCCTGATCACATTTGGAAGGACTGTCTTAAGCTGAGGATTGGAGAAATTGAGAGTCAAGCAGGTTGGCAATAATGGTAGATGGGCAGTAGGACTGATGCTAATCAGGACACGTGAACAACCCAAGAGGAAGGGGGTACATGAGGAGCAGGCAACATCCAATGGTATATACTTCATGCTGCTTTATCTGTTATTGTTAAACACTACTAGGGAGAAGAGTCTCCTTAAAGGCACCATGACAGCCTCAACAGCAAATAAAGCCCTCTACTTACAGCTGTGGAGATTAAATCATAAAATTCCTAATACTGTAAGCAGTAAGTAGTTTATGCTTACATTAAGTAAATATTAATGACATTTATAACCTCCCTTAAACCTGAGTTTTGATTTTTCCAATGACCTTAAACTTCAAACCATTTACTACATTTGTTTGTCCCTCTTAATAAGTTTCTTTGAAACAATTTCTGTTTTTCAGAAAAGTTGCAACACTAGTATTAGTAACACTTTTTCCTGAACCTTTTGAGAATAAATTGCCAGCATGATGTCTGAGCACTCTGAATACACTTCAACACTGTCAAATAGAAATATAATAGGAGTCATATGTGTAACTGCAGAGTTTCCAGAAGCCCACATTAAAAAAGGAAAAACAAGTGAAATTAATTTTAAGGTATTACTAAGAATACAATTTCAACATTTCACACTAGGTACATTTCAAGAGCTGAATAGATAGTTTAGTTGTTACCATACTGAATAGCACACATTTAGAGTTTCCCACAAACAAGGATATTCTGCATAACAGTTCAGCTATCAAAATCAGGGTATTAATATTGCTACATTATTACCATTAAATCCATGGCCCCATGCAAGATTTGTCACTTGTCCCAATGATGTTCTTTATAACAGAACTCATTCCGGATTCATACGTTGCATTTAATTTTCCTGTCTCTTTAGCCTTCTTCAGTCTGAAACAGTTTCAGAAGTGTTCCTTGATTTTCATGAACTTGACATTTGAAGATCATAGGCCATTTATTTTGTAGAATATCCCTTACTTTGATAGTTCCTCATGATCGGATTCAAATTATGTAGTTTGGGCAAAACTTACAGAAATGTTGCTGTGTTCTTTTCATTAGATCCTTTCAGTTGCACACAGTTCCAATTTGTTGCATTACTGGTGATGTTAATTTTGATCACCTGATCAAAGTTTTTGCCAGGATTCTCCATAGTAAAGTTACTTTTTCCCCTGTGAAATTAATAAGTATTTGTGGGGAGGTTTTTTGAGACTAAATGTTCCCATTCCTCATCAAACTCACTCACTGGTTTTTACATTCATTGTGGTTTCTGGACTGAATTAGTTATTACTAGTGATGGGGCAATCTACTTCCATAGTGATACTGCCTCGGAAAACCAAGCAGGGGTCGCTATGAGTCGAAATTGACTCAACTGCATATAACAAGTGATTTTCTGTCCATCATTCCTTCTTTGTTTGCAGTCAACTGTAAGGAAAAGCTTTCTCTCCCAATTTATTAATTTTTATATCAGTGTGGAATCGCAGGTTCTTACTCTATTGAGTTAATTATACTCAATATTACCATCATTAATTTAATGCTCAAGATTTGTACAAACTTTTTTCTTATATCTTAGTTACTTCTTCCCATCATTTGTTGAGCACTTCCTTACTTTCTGGCATTAGATGTTCATCTTGCACTTTCCCTGCCCCAGCCCTTAGAACCAGCCATTTCTCCAAGAACCCTAGCCCTTTTTAGTGGAGAACTGTATTTAGAAACCAATATCTGAGTGCTAGAAGTTCTTGTTACAATTGGGTTGGCACTGTTCCCAAGCCATTTAAGTGGACAAAGCTGCGTGAATACACACACACATATACATACATACATAGGGAGTTCTGGTAGCATAGTGTCTAAGGCATCTGACTGCTAACCAGAAGGCTGGTGGTTCAAACCCACTGGCCACTCCTCAGAAGGAAGATTGGGCGATCTAATTGTGTAGTGATACTGCCTCTGTAACCCGAGGAGGGTTGCTATGAGTTGGATCCGACTTGACAGCAGTGAGTCTGGTTTGGTATACATACATACATCTCACTGCCATCGAGTCAGTCCCGACTCATAGTGACCCTTACTTGGGTTTTCGAGGCAGTATCTTGGAGGAAGGAGATTGCCCAACCTTCCTTCCGAGGAGCTCCGTGTGTGTGTGTGTGTGTACGCACTAATATGTATGTGTGTATGTAGGAGCTTTGGTGGCATAACGCCTAAGGCATTTGACTGCTAACCAGAAGACTGGCGGTTCAAACCCACCAGCCACTCCACAGAAGGAAGATTAGGCAATCTACTTCTGTAGTGATATCGCCTCAGCAACCCAAAGAGGGGTCGCTATGAGTCGGATCCAATTCGATGGCAGTGAGTTTGTTTTTTATATATACGTACATATATATTCATGTAGACATGAGTTTTGAGGCTGAGCCTCTGGTGTTTCAAACCCAGCGAGATGCACCTGGTACACAGGTAACAGCCCAGCTTATAGACTGAGACAGACTAGGAAGAAGGAAGAGGCCGTCCACTTCTCAAAGAATTGGCCAGGGAAAACCTTATGAATAGCAAAGAAACACTGTTTGGTACATTACCG